CGAAACGGGAACAGATGGGCGCATGGTATGGGTTGAAAAATTCTGCCACTCGGAATGCAGTTACACACTGACAGGGGAGGCCTATTTGTTCGATCACTGCAAAGAATGAGGAAGTCTAAACAAGTACACTTTACATAACTCACAGCATTCTTTTTCTCCTCGTAACGTTTGGTAAGGTTTGCAGGCACATGTCATCGGGTCTGCACGCCAGCCTAATTCGAAAATGGGTTGGCGACATGTGTCCGGGCGACATTCCCCAAAGCGAGTCTCGACTTTAACCGGGCATGCTGTATTAGGAGAGGTGAGATAACCGGACGATCATGGAAATATAGAATCAGTGAAAATTGAACCGTTGAAATTTATTGAAATACAGTTACAATGAAAAACTATCCAGTTGCGAACTAATCCCTAAAATAGTGGGGGATTGGTTTGATAACTTTAAGATTGCGCTAGTTAGAGATCCGTAAGTAGATAGTGTTCTCCACGACAGCCATCAAGTGCTCTATAATGATCTGCAATCCTCAAACGACTTGATGTACGGGTCAACAAATCCTGAAAAAGGCTATATGTGTTTGCTTAGATTGCTCTGAGACATTGGACTATTTGAGCCGGGTGAACCAGATTCCCCTCAAACAATGTGTTCCCGGCGTAAACAGGAAGGACAAATACAACTAATGTCCTGAGTAACGGTACCATCGTCGACCTAACTTAAAATTTAAAAGGTTCTTTTACTGATCAGAACATTAAATGAATGGAAAAAGATTGCATTTTGGAGTTATTACGAGGACGTTTCAGCGGATGAAATCACGTTTTATCATGGTTTCATGAAGCCTGACATACGTGCGAGATTTTTCCTATAATGTGCGTCATTGTTACCTCACATATTCTACTGCGGTGGCGTTATGTGAATCGCTATTCTAGGACCCGGACCTTCATTCTGCAGTATCCATAAATGAAAGCTAGTTTCACAGGACTATGTATGCTATTCACCTTTTACTGTCTCTTCTAATAACTCCCATTCGGGTATCGAATTTCACCGCGCAACTACTGCTATTGCTGGAACAGTGTGATTCAATGAAAAACCGGTGTTTTGGGTTAAGCCATATCACCGTGAACAGAATAGATGTGCGAAAATAAGTGAACTTGACTGACAATTTCGCCCGAATATATTACCCTTGTTTATGAGTGACAGAATCAATCAAGATGACGAAGTTCGGCCGATTTTCAATGAAGATGAAGGAGTGGTCTACAAACTTAGAATAATTCGAGTTACCTTGTCAAGGTGAGGGCTACATCCAGCTGCACTGAAAAATGCGAGAAAATCTAAAAAGCATCGGATTGCTCATTCTTCTTATTTTCTCAGGAACGATACTCTTTGAAATCTCCTCTTCGTCTTTGTATATTTTATCTCATCTTTCATCACATTGGCTTTCAAAAAATGTGCTTGATTATCTGAGTAGAAGACTTTAAATTCTTGTTGGTCGATGAAAAATGTGCATGACTAAAGTTTCACAACAGCCTGGAGCAAACTGCGGGGTAAAATTTGCGTCCACTCATGTTCAGTATGCAGAACTGACAGACAGAAGAACTGCCACTACCACCATCAAGTGTCATTCACCAGTACACAACAAGTACAAGCCATGGCAGTTCATAGTGGTTGTTGGCTTACAGGTGTTTGCAACTGCTTTGGAAAGACCTGAAAACTGACTGGAAACTCACCAATAGGTTGAACGTGCTTCCGTGAGAAACGTAAACAACGACCGTTTTTCCAGTGGAATTTATGCGTAATCACGTTCAACATGCCACTATGGCACTGTTTCTCCTGTCTGGATTCTCTTGGACAACCTAGTGTGATGTGATACAAGGGTCGGTCGGGTGCGGGATGGGGATGAGCGCATGAGTGATAAGGAACCTATCGCTGCAATTGCATTACGAACAGCTCAAAGTAATGTTAATGGTAAGCATGTATAAAACGTTTGTAAGTCTATTACAAAGGACATTTGAGTTGTTGTTGCGAAAAAATGCCATCGTGCAATAAAAAACGAAACTGCTAAGCTCTATTCCCCATTCCCACCTATTACATCATCAACTAACGAACAGGGATCTATTCTGGTTTCTTCGATGATCATTATATTTCACCAAATACTAGTAACTTCCCGGTTGAGAGGTGAAATCTATTTTACTCTGGAAAGAGGATGAATTGTAACCGGTAAAGCTATGTTGTCCCCTAGGAAATAACGTCATGTGAACTAAAAGAGGATTAACTGGTCCTCCGGTGTAAGGGAAATACAATACACATAGAAAAAGTTTTGCGGAGGCATTTTTTACGGACCACTATGCTCTACACACCAGGTCGTACTTTTGTATTCGTTCCCGAAAAGATAATTTCATTGAAACAAGTAACTACACATATTTGAATGGCATTTGATCCTTGAACCAGGACATTTCTGGCTATGCCGCTACATAAAGAAAGGAGTTTTATGGATCTTGAAATTAATATGAAATCTTTCGGATCGGTAAAAAAACATAAGTTAGCAGTACAGCAAAGGGGGAAGGATGCATGCGACCACGAATTTTGAGGGATATCAAGGGTCCTAGGCATGAAAACATAAAAAGAAACTTTACAAACCTTATTGTAAACATTCGCCACACGGCTAGTCCAGGAGAGGTTATGGGATAGAATGATGCCAAGGTATTTCACAGAGTCAGCTTTGGGAATGCTGTGGCTGTTAACGATAAGGTCCGGTAAATCAATACAAGTAGTTTGATAACAGTAGTCAGATTTAAGGTTGAAAGTAACGTCAACTCATTTGGAAACATTAAGCACAAGCGATCGGGGCAAGAACTAAATAAAAACGACATTCAGAGTGTTTTTAAATTGGTGGAAAAATATATCTCTATTGGAGGGGCACCGCACGCTAGCCATTAGTTAATTGCATACCACCACATCCTTGAACGAGATTTCCACTCCTCTCTTTGAGATTTCAGCCAGTTATTTTACATGCAATCATGCTCAATGTATGTCCCACCAATCAACTTCGTGCATAACTATGCCATAGCTCTCTTCATAGTCACCTAAGCGAACAGTCTCCGGTTAACTGTAGACTGTGCCCAGTCACAAGCATTAGTCTGATGCACATGAGGCAGTAGGTGAAATACACTTCAAGGTTGACTTTGCTAACAGCTGTCACTTTTAATGACCGACTTATCGAATAGTCTGATTTTAGGCATCTATGACATCAAGTGTTTTCCGTAAGGTAAACAATCAAAATGGATAAGACTCTGTAGAACGGATTTGCTCAAAGGAGGATATTCTCCCTCTGCTGAACCTCATCCGTCCTCAGCTACTTTGAAAAATAAACGAATAAAAATCCGCAATGAAGCTGGCAATTTCAAAACGATGTAAATTTCTTCGGTGAAACAATGGATGGCAAAATAAGTTTTTTTTAATATTGTCCGACGTTAACCGTTTTAGCTATGACTTACAGCCACTAACAGAATTTCTCAATCACTATTTGATTTTTTCTGGAACACCATTGTATCACTCTCAGTTTCAAAGCCTATCAATTTCCACGAGTTTGTTTTATCCACCCAAACCCTCCCCACCCAATTTAAATGCATACTTACAACAGGGCCTAGATGCCAGAGTCTTCTCTGTGAGAACACACTTGCAATTTCGCCGCTCATAGTATGGCAGACGATAGTGCTTGAGACATGTGGCCCGATCACATGTGGTCCAGTGTGCTTTCGGTGGACGGGGGTAACTGTTACAATCTGGAGGTGGGGCAAGGGAGAGAGTTATAAATAATCGTTAAACTCACAATGAGTTAGCATGCATAATTCAAACCATTCTCATACTCCCTTCAGCTTATAGTTTAATATCGATTGATTCATTGCTTCGAATGAATTACTTTGAAATCAGTACGAACTGATTGACATGAGTGTTTTGTCATAAGAATTTAAGGCTCTCCGGAGCATCACAGAGAAAACTATACAAATTCCAGTTATACAAATGAAAAATGACTTCTTCAATCTTTTTCCAGTGGACTAAACCAACGACTGTGTTAACAATTCACTCATAACTCACCCACTTCTTTGTAAACGTCTTGCGTTTTCGGAACACATTTATGTCCACAACGTTCTCGTTCTGTTGCGTAATATGTAATCGTACCAATCAGATTCTTGTCATTTATACATTTGACATTCAATTGGGGTTTCGGGCAGCCTGTTAGAATGGGGTAAATATGCACAGTCCGTGAGTACCGAATGGTGAACAAAAAAATGAAATGCAGTCGAGCGTTTGATGAGTACAATGCAAACTCTAACAAATCACTTCGACAGAGCATTAATATTATTGTGTCTGTCCATTGAACCTCGTTGATTGCGATTGCCGTTTTCAAGCGGTGTAGCTAGACTGTTCTGCTTCCAGAGTTTTATTTAACCTATCAAGTCACATCGACAACGACGGAAAAGTAGCTTGAACAACATAAACTGTCAACCGCATGATGATCAATTCATCGTCTCTTGGTTCAAAATTTACGGAATTTGTGTCAATACTGAAAAAGTGGCAAGCACTTAGAAGTTACTTGGGGGAGGCTTTTGAGCAACAACGACGATGAGAATCGCCCGAAAGCGACCAGGAATGTAAATCCGCCCTAGAGGTTTGTTGACGCGAACGTTCTGGTGCAGATGAAATCCCTCACTTGTGAGCAACATAGTTACATTCTGTATTCGGTGGATAACTCCAAGATAAAGTTACAACCACCATCCCAAGCCTCTGTTGGCTGGCAAATTAACTTATCTACTATACAACAAGCACGGGACACTAATCACCTATTGTAATAACTTTACATCAATCACTATCTGAAATGAATTGAATTGAGTAATATTCAATCTTCTGCGAAGATGGGGTTTCGGAATATTTTCTGTTTCATCCTAGAAATAAACTACTCGATCACTGAGCTGATAGCGACTGATCTACCCTAAACAAATCAAAGTGTGTTCGAGCAGAGTCGGTTAGTGAGGGGAACTTGCGGTTACCTGTGATGTTAGAATTTATTTGTTTTGAATAACTTCACTTTGAGGTAGAAAATGCACATATCGGCTCTGGAGGTCATTGGTGCAGATGACTGATGATTTAAAAGGAATAAAGGAAAAGACTGTTTTTTACTAGGATCGGCTGTTATTTCTGGACTGCGCACGACGTCAAATGTGAGTGAAGAGTTGTGGTGAATGGGTGATTTCACTAACTTTCAGTTTTCCGCATTAACTAACTCCACGACTCTTGTTGTTGCATTCGCAGGATAGTCTAAATCAATGACTCAAGTTGAGTAAGAAAGCTTTGATATTCACATAAAACGGCGCTTATGAAGTGGCCACTTCACTGATGATGCCACCTCGGTTGGTGATGGAACGTTTGCAAAACAAATTACCAAGCTTGGCGAACTGGCGAAATGAAATTCAGTTCACCCGAGCTACGAGAACCGATTTTGAATACTTTGTCCACAGAAATGCTTGTCTTACAGCATTTTCACCGTTTTTATCATTGTCATGCATTGTTTTATTTGTTTTATACCTATTTTCGATCTTCATTTCACCAAGTCAACACAGAAACCGATCCGATAACAAACAGATAAAGACAATCAATCCGGCAGAACCCGGTCAAAGCTGACTGATTTTTGTACCATGCTCAGTTGGTTTCATCTTTCATTTTTTCTGCGTACGCATCCTGACTGTTTGAAACAAAGTAAGTTGATTTACTGGTGTTCGTCGGAGCCAACTGTGGTGATCTTCACACAACCTATTCACTCGGTTATCTCGGCCTCCGTGGTCACTTACCACAACAAGTACAACGTCTGGACTCGGCCAGACGCCATCGACACAAACATTGCGACGGATCGTATTTCCGCACAAACACTTCCAGTTTGAGTGTGCAAGTGGCTGGATCACATGGGGATTGACGATATCGATGAAACAGAGAGCTGTGCGGGGTTTGACGGGTCAGTGCTGGCGGGTATTCACAGTGCGGTTTAAATCTTCGTTGGTGAACAACGCGTTCGCATACGGCCATGCGCGGATTCAGTTTGAACGCGACGTGCTGGGGAAACAGAAAACGGGGCATACAAATTGATTTTCAATGATTTGTTTTTTATTCCCCTCGCGATAGGAAATGTATGAGGGAAATTAACAAATGTTCGGCCACTGTCATACATGATTTTCATCGCAATCCATCCCCTCAGTAAGCAAGCTGTGTCTCTGAAGACAACGTTTCTTCATAGTATCTATTCAGAGTGGTTTCTCCTAACGAATTGAAAACGAAAAGACAAAAATTTGATGCATGTGATTTTCATTCTACAGCTTCATTGGATTCCATGGATCCTACCGAGTGTGCTGATCTTTTCACAGTTCGAAATAAACCCATTTTTGTTTTATCCGTTCTCAGCTATAAAACTTAATTAAATGTCTGTTCTTTAAAAGCGGATGTATCCTCACCCGAGTTGTGAGCATCCTCTTACAAAAAAAGTGTCGCATGTCCAGAACATAGATTTCGTGCTTGGTTGTAAGCACAGTAGACGGATAAAGTGGAAAATAATGTATACTAAGTTACAGACACAGATCTGCTCTTCTCAGCCCACAGGAAAATGAGTGAAACCTATGAGATGATTGAATATGGTCTGATTTCCTAGCAAAAAGTTCGATCGTTCTCGGTTCAGGCATGGGCAGCCTTTTACTGAAGAGGATCGAGACCCAATATACGAGCACACTAGTGGCTCATCAACAGGACAGATTGCCTTATGAGGTGACATAAACGCTGGTCAGATCAAATGAGTCCTGGGAAACAACACACCCAGAGGCTAACCCATATGATGGGTATAAACTCAATTTTCTTCACTGCATCAATGCAATCGTTTAGAAAAAACGCAAACCAATCTTTGTAACTCCTACGAAGCTCGCCGGCGATGGAACACTCTGGACGACGACTGGCATGAACCACAATTTATCCTGAGATAACGGAAATTAATTGGTTTGATAGTTGAAACCTCACCCCTGGTGTGTACTAGTTTTCCATAAGCTAGGACAAGATGAATAGCGAAGACATCAAAAAAGTACTCACTGTTTGCTCAATCACCCCGTTTTTGCACTCTTGGTGTGTTTGTGCCGTTGGACATTTGCAGAAGTGAATTGACGGCGTACGTTTTTCAATCACACAAGTCTGCTTGATCGGATCCCATCGGCGTTCCAAAATGACTTCCTCCCACGATTCTCTCTGACCGTCACACTGGCCATCTCCAACTATCTCAGTTGGACATCCTGAATGGTTGAATGTATAAGCATTGTAGGAAATATGATTGGATTTTGAGTAATCAAGAAAAGCAAGATACGTTGCCACGTTTTAGCGCCCAGTTACTGAACCTATTTCAATTTGCGAACATGGTTAACCAATTGCACTTTAGGCCATCACTTAGGCTTTATTTTATAACCCTCTGATCTCGTAGTTTAGCCTTCGAGCACGGTTTTCCAGATTTTGCCCACGTGTTTTTCAGCTTTCACAGATAATATCTTAGCAGTTATCCAAGGATATTTCTGGCTATTTATTGATTTGTTTACTGAGTAGCGACAGGGAGAGTTTCTACCTCTAGATGTTACTTTCGGCTGATTATCCAGGAGCGTGGAGGATGAAAAGCATGACATAAAAATAATGGATCACAAAAAATCGGTTAAGCACAAAAACTCTCTGGGTTCTCAACCAGGGACAAACCAGTTTTCCAATACTTTTTGAGATAATAAACAAAATAAATACTCTAACATCGTGAGGCACGAACCTAGTGGTAAACAGTGTAGCGTACAAAAAGTAGAGCCTGCTCTGCTATCTGAGGGATCAATTGAGTTGTTTTACCAAGGCGCTGAAACAACTTGGTACATTTGACTTTTGCAGAGTTATCGGTAAATTAACATTGTTTACTTTGTTGCAGTCACCGTTTATCGAGCAACCAATCACTCGAGACAGATGAGAGATTAACGGTGTACACTACAAATGTCGTCGATATCCAGTAAAACACCACGTATACGCAATCAGTCAGTAGAAGAGAGAGAATATATCTGTGTTTGTGACCACTTACGGCAGTCACGCATCACTTTACGTATCCGCTCCAGACACGCACAACCATTCGGATCTCGATGTTGTTCCGTCAGTGTCTCCATCATCCGGCCTAGAACACACGGACCACGAGTGATGCGCATCTTCGGTTTGCACGCTGTGAAATTACGAGACGGGAGTGCCGGTTAAATTCGACCTCATTATTTACCACATAATATTTTATGCATGTGTAACCTAAAATGTTCCCATATCGAAATTAAAATCTGAAATTTTATCATGAATAAATTACAGAACCGATGCTTATTAAATCCCGCAGGATCTGTACACACTGGGCTCGGTGGATAGTGTAATCAAATAGCAGATTATAGTCTTCACTTAGGGATGCTGAGCAGTTGGGTGATTCAATGCTTCATCGAGCCGTGATTTGAATGAATCGACGGTTGGAGCACAGGTGAAAGAGAGTTACAGGTATTACAAACTCTGAGACTGAAAGAATGACGCTTGCAGTATAGCCGACTCTTTTGGAGCAAAAGTCTAAATTGATGTCCTCTGAGGTGAACATTCCTGGATAATGTTGGTTGAGTACTACACGGGCGGTTAGGTTAATGTAGTGTTGGTGATACGAGGGTAATATGTCTCCCCATTCGGCGGTACTCGGATAAATAGATTCCGAGGGTTGACAGCTTTTCGATGTAGGTCTTTAATTTTAACTCTTCGACCATTTCGATTGCTGTTCTCCGTGAGCACATTTCTTTCACCGTGTTTAACACACCTGTATGCTACCGATGGAAGTAAATCCAGATCAGGCAACAAAAGACCAAGCAAAGCTGGTCTTAATTCAAATTCATCTGAATGCGAACTATCCCTAGACGGTATTGTGTAGTTTTCTAATGAATTTCGGGAACTTTATATTACCAAATTGAATGCTGACACCAAAGAGTTCATGTTTAACTCATGTCGAAATTCAATCCGCGAACTATCTGGTAAAAGGGGTCGACTGATGCTTTTAAAATACTTCGGGATAAACAAGTAATACCGTTCATTGATTACAAGGTATTCGTTAGATATATAGTGACGGAACAGGCACAGACATACTTGGTTCGCAAATCTGCCGCCATATATTAACTTGGATCTTCCGTGGTTTTTCGAGACAGATTAGAAGAATCCAAATTAATAAATTTAGATGCATAAGATGCTGGATTCTGTGCATTGCCCATGAATTGCCCATTGTTCGGACATGATTAGGAATTGGGGAGCTGTACCCAAGAAAACATTCAGGTACTCCGTGGAGATCAAGTATTTCTTGTTTTTTTTTGTGTAAAGACATCCAAATGGAAATCCAACCCTTGGGATATCATATAGATTAAATTCGTCTGATCAGTATTTTCATTTCGTTCTGTCAGGTGATGAATTTTATCTCATCGACTGTACCAG